TTTTCATTATTATTCATTTTGTTGCTCAACAAATAATTTCATCAAATAAAGATGAACATAAGATGTATAAATCTACTTTCAGCCATTTTTTCAACTAACGAGAGAAATCGTCCAATTGATTAATTTGTTTTAAATTGAGATTATAGGCATCATGTAGATTCTAATGAACTATGAATAGCTTATTATTGCGAAAATATTGCATTTTTACAGTATTTTTTTAAGTCAATGCCATGATCTCTCTCAAAAATATTTCCTATTAAAATTGATTAAATTAATATTTCGCAATTTTTTTCATTGTTCATTATTATCGATTTGAAACAACTAGAAATTTAATATGTATTCTTTTTATTAAAAAACAAATGCAACAGCAGAGAAAACAAATATAGATTTTATTTCTTAACTATTCGGTTCTTATCAATCATCATTAAAATGATTGTTCCATTTATTAATAAATTAAATCAACGTCCTCCTACTCGAAATTAATGATAGTTTTTCTTGTGAAGACAACAAAAGAATGCTACAAAATGTGTTTTGCACTAACTTTGCCTTTTTCTATTGTTCTAGTTTTTCGGGTATCGGCCATGGTCTTATGCTCGATTTAGAGAAAATTATTTCAGAATTTATTTGTATCAAATCTAAAACAAATTCTTAAACAGTCGTTTATAGATTTATTCATTCGATAAATGTATGTTGTTTTTTTGTAGTCATCCCTTCTTTGTTTTATTTTGATTGGTGTGATTTGTAGCATAATTCCTTTGAAACTAAAGAACATTTAATTACTATCATTAGTTTCAATTTGAGCAACTTTGTTTTTTCACAATTTCGATCATTTCTATTTCTCATGATCTCAGTCTACTTCTGATTAGAATTTAAGAAGTTTCGATTTTGACTATGTATTTATCTGCATTCATTATTGACATTACACCTATTTCAATTAAAAGAATTGAGATGTATGCAATGACTGACAGAGAATATGTAAGACTCTACACAACTGTCTATATTTAATAGTTGTTATCGGCGATAATTTGACATGTTACATCTAATTATAAATGACTGTGAGACATGAAGTACCGTGAATATTGATTATCACCAAGTTATAGTGAGGCATTTAAATCAATCGATATCATTAATTTCATTTTGTACTATTAGAATAAAACAAAACGGACAATATATTAATTAAGAAGAAATCAAATCAAACTAGATCTATGAGTGTTTGATATGTGTTAAATACCATAGTAAATATGACTTGAAAAAAAATCTTTATACGATCTATGTTGCAATCATTTTGTAATGTAATATCCGAGTCAAACTTTTTTTTTTTCATAAGTATCTTAGATAAAAAAGTCACGTGATATGAACATATCTTGAAGCAAGGCTCGAACCTCTTGTTTCATTACTTAAATTTGAATTTTTTCCGAGCACTGATATTTTTTATTCAAACGTATGTGATGTGCTTGAATATCGGAGAAGTTTCTTTTCTCTAATGTTTTAACTGTTCTCTTAATGTACATGTGAGTTTCACTTTATTTTCGTATTTGTCTTCACTGCAAGTGTTAATCTACTAATGAAAACCGATCTCAGCTTCTGTATTGTAGTTCATACGCATAGATAAAGTCCATTTCAAGAAACGCGAGAATCCTGTTTGATGGTGTTTTTTTGTAGAAAGAAGCTCTTAAATCTGTTACTTGAAACAGAACTCTGAAAGTCTGGTAGGTTTCTGAAAAGAGGAACAAGGATGCCACCAACATATCTCATAATCATCGATGATTCTTAGGTATCACTATAGTATCTATCATTAATTAAATTGAGATACTATAGAATCGATCGATTAAAGTTGAATTAATTCTGAATTAACTTTTTGTCCTAAGCATTATTTCATCTGGACCAGAAAATATGCGATTATCTTATTTCAATTGATCGTTTTAATGAAGTCTCCGCATAACTTATGAAAGTATTCAAGCATCTGTCTATAGAAAAATGACGAAGATATCAGTAGGTTCTTCACTGAAAAATCTATCATGAAAACATATAGAATGAATGGTCCAGCTATTGATCTCTGAGATATGTTTCCATGGATTTTGCTTTAAGAAAACTTCGTTCCTTTTCGGATGTTAAAATCAAAATTTTTCGATCTGTGGTTTTTCATCACTAATATAATTTCGAAATTCCTAGTTAAAAAAACTCGCGCTGCGATTATTCTTTGTAAAGATGTTGAGAGCAAGAATCATGGACCCCTAACACGGCAAATTTTCGATCACTTAGTTGGAGAAAAAAGTCCTGATACATATAGGAAAATTTGTTTTATGTTTTTTTCAAAATCAATTTTTGAACAAAAAAAAACAACGAAGTTTTTCACTTACGATACGTCCGATTGGGTTCAGTTGTTTTTCTTATAAATACCTTGGTATAATTAAAGTACGTGTTTTTTTTCAAAATTTTCTTCCTACATAATTCGGTAGCCTTTAAAAAATTAGTATCATTGAAAAAAAAACACGTCTTTTTTCTTTTGATGATGCTTCCCGTATCTTTGCTTTTCTCGAGCTGTAGGAACGATATTTTTGGAAGAAAAAAACTGCAGCTTGAAAAAAAGAAGTATAGAGTGTTGCGGATGAGGACTTGTGATCATTTTCGGTCTTTACAACTTCCATATCTCTCTGAAGGAAGTATCTGAAAATTTCGAGTCTATAACAACTTTTGCGGGGAAGAGGACTATTAATCTGTTAATATTTACTATAGAAACAAAACCAAAACATTAATTATCCAATTTCGTCGTAAGACACTATTCTATATATAGTCTTCGAATAATTATTTGTGTAGGATATTATACATAATAGAAATTATACAAGGACAAACATCAGCATGAATATATTGCGTATTATGTTACTTATAGATAGACTATGCTGAAGAATAAATGAGGATATAGAACGTGGGAAATAATGATGAAAATAATTGTACTAATCGTAACTATTGCCGATTTTTTTTTCTTCTGTTACTCTGTCAAATACTATAACAACAGGAATCATCGAGAACAGGCGTCAACTTATCGAGTTATGGACAACAACATTAATCCCTTGAAATAGATTTAATCAATGTAATCTTAGTGCTGACATATGTAACCACGTTGTTATTAAAGTAATTAACATTAAATATTTTCATAGATAAATGTCTAAGACTTTTTAGAATATAATATATTTATTGAATTGTCGGTTTTGTCTCATATCATTTGAATCATTAAAGATGATTTATGATAAATATCATCTAGTGGTTAAAATGTTTTCTTAATACGTTAATAATTGATCTCAACTATCAACAAGTAAATTAAAGAGACATTTACTATATATGTATTATTCTATTAGATAATACATTGAATTATTGTGTCTATCGAAATATTCATTGATTATTTTAATGATACCAAGTGGTATATCTTATGCATATTTATCAAGGACATAATATTGTGATTGGATGAAGAATGCACGCATGTGTATGTTACGTCTTCCACTTATATTTACAGTCTACCATTTCTATTCATCTATTCTTGATTGTGACAAGTGAATGAAGCATATGATGTATAGAACTATCATTACTTTTTTTTTTTTATTCTGGATTCAATGATGATGTATGCTGTAATTGCTATGAAATTATTTCGAAGAGATGGACTTGTAATAAACGCTTCTTCTTTTTCTTTTTTTTTTTGGTTGTTAGCATTAAGGAAAAGAAAAAGAAAAACAGTTATGCACTTGTGTGTATATGAGAATAAGTGATATTTTTTCAAAAATCAAATAAGAAGATGATTGATTATTTGTACATCATTTTTATATGTAGCCGAGCATAAAAAAAACGAGATATAAGTCATGGGAATTCTTTGTTTTCCATGTCTTATTTGGCTAATTTAAAGAGAATAAGATAGGAAAGAAAACATTCTCTTTTATGATTATTGATCTTGAGCTATAAAGACACGGGCTACAGTGTGTACAATAAGGAAAAAAAAAGATTAAAACAATAGCCTTGATTATAGGAAATACGTAGTAGGCTTTATTTCACTTGACTTGATTCATACTATCTTATCATCTAAATAATTCATGTTAGTATTTACAATTCTTTGTTATATTGCAATCATTATCACTAATTTTATTATTTTTTTCTATAATAGAAAAAAAGAAGCCGGTCGTTACGATAAACATACGATTGTTATTTTCTTTTGACGAGCTTTAACTTTATGTGTTGTTCGACTGTTCCTATTCTAAAAATAATTCACAAAGTAATCAGTTGCTTACATATATTAAATATATATAACAACTGTTCTAACAATTTACTTCAATATAGAGACATGGTTTTTCTATGAAGTATCATTTATCCCTTCTCTTTAATTCATATGTAGTTTAGATAAATATCTTATATGATTGACTTTCGATAAGAATAAGTTGGTCTCGATAAAGATTTGTCTATTTTTTGACAGTTTTTTTAAAATATAAATGTGTGAAAGAAAGAGGAGAATAATTACATGTCGTTAGATGTGCCTCGAGTCTTACGCGAACAAAACAAACTACTATTAACATTAGTATTCTTTTTCTTAATCTTTTTTGTATGACAATAATAAAACGAGTCCGAGATCAAATTAGATTTTGTTTTTCTTTTTTTGTATAATATATATATATATATATATATATGATGTGTCAAGAATATAGTTGTTGTGCGCAAATAGATCAATCGATTTTTAGAAATTATTCGTTGTCATTGAAAAAATAAAACTAATAATTAATGAAAAAAGAATTCGATTATGTCTTTGTTTATTTTAGATCAACATTAATCTGATAACAAAAAGAAAAAAAGAAAAACTGATGAAAAAACAAAAGAGTCGATGGTGACCAATATTATTGCCAATGTTATTTTTATTTTCTCGCATTTCAACATGGCTATTCATAGAAATGATAGCCTCGTTATGTTTAGTCCTATTAAATTTAGCTATACCTATTCTAATGATGTTTACTTCATTTCATAATATGATAAATTTTTATTTGTCAAGCACGGCTTTATCAAGTTCATTAATTAATTGTTTATATCTATTTTATCTTATTCAAACTTTTCGTTCTAAAGTTCTTTCAGAAATCAATTGTCGAGCAATCTATTATTTACACACATCGTGTATAGTTATACTCGGTATGATTTTCATTAGCCAAAAAAACACACTTGAATAGTTTTAAGTTTTAGTAACGGATCTTTCGATGTCTGAGTTACTATCTTCTATAGAGAAAAAGAAGAATTTAATAACTAGTCTTGTTGAGATATGTTGAAAGAAGATGAATGCAAGTCATCTTAACCTTAAATTACCCCAACTATTACACACCGTGATAGGCAAGAAAATGTGTGTTATAATCTATAATCCAAGAATATAATTTTTTCTTGATGCCTCGGTTAACAATTATGTTAGAACAGAAATATCTACGAATATTATCTTCAACATATATAATTTATTAGATTATGAAAGATAATGAATGAATAAAAATTACTAAAAAGAAAAACAATAATTTCTTCTGTTCGTTATAATTAAGCAAGGCTCAGAAGTTTTATATACTTCCGATTTTCATTCAAATAAATAAAATACAGTACCTAATAAACTATAAGAATATTATGATATAAAATGAATCAATAGAAATTTTATTCTGTACATAATTTAATGGAAACAATGATCGATACAAAATCAAAAAAAAAAAAAAGAAAGAATTCATTTGATTATTATTAAATCGAGTACTATCCTATATGATTAATACATCTTCAATTTTCCTAGATCTATAACATGATTCTTTTTTAATTATTACTAGTAGCTCTCAGCTATAGGTGTCAAAAGAACATCTATAATCCTTACTAGTAAATACTAAAAAAACAATCTGTTCTATGTAATAATAATAAAAAATTAGATTCTAATAATGATTGTATTTAATTAAGCAAAAAGAAAAACAATTAAAGATTTTGTTCTTTTACTATTTTAGCTTACACGATAGTTGCAATTCATGCAAATTTTATTTTATGTTTATTTCCATCGTCATCATCCGATCAAAATCATTCAACTCGTACATGTTTAAAAACATGTGGTATTTGTTTACGAAAATTTCTACGGCGATTTAGTTTTTGTTTTGTTATATGTGTATGGTCATTTTCATTTACATCTACAATACCATTGCTTTATTCAATTGATTCAAATGAAAAATTACCTAAAGCAGTTTATTGTCCTGGTACAACACAAATAAATTATCTTGAAGAATGGTTTGATCGTAATCGTGTTATACAAACTATTTTATTTAATTTAATACCATTATTAATAAGTTTATTATTATCATTAATTGGTTTATTGAAATTATTATATGATTGTTCTACTTATTTATATTTACGTTTAAAAATGTCGAATTGTTCGTCATGTCTAAAAAAATCTTCTTCTTCTTATCAACAACGACATCAAGCAGTATATAATTCAATGCCATTGTTATCATCACTTCATGTTATAGATGGTAATAATATACAATCTGGTATTAATTTAGTACAAATCATAGAAACAACAACAGCAACAACAACACCAACTAATGAAGTAATTGTATCATCAGATTTAGCAATACAATCCTGTGGACATTGGTTATCAAAATCATTTCTTCGATTTTTACTTGTATTATCATCATGTTTATTAGCATGTATTTATCCAATCGCTATGCGTTTTTATCTTATCTATTTTTCTGTACTTGTTCCCTTGATATTTGCTGTATTGAATTATTCTTTGGGACATTTTACATTAACACAACAACAACAACAACAACAACAACAACAAACAATTGTTGAAAATCATACTATATCCGGAACAATTCCATCACCAACAAGATCTACTGATACACAAAATTTCGTTAATATGAATATTAGTAAAGAATTTCAAAAAAGAACATCTATAAAACGTGAAATAGATAATACTTCAAATGAACAATTTGAATTACAATCACCAGTAATAAAAGATTTATTAAATGAACGAGATGAATCATTTCTTACAATATCAAATTCATCAACAACATTATCAACTGATCATCGATCAATAATAGGAGATAAACAAAAATATTTTTCTAATCGTTTATATGAAAATACTCGAAATATGTTTCTAAAAGAAAATAATTAAATGCTTAGTTTTTTTTGTTTGCTTTTTTTATTTGATGAAATTTTCATATAGAATAGAAATTTAAATATATACATAATAAAAAACAACAACAACAAATGTTTCAATTCTCATCTGTTTCACAAAGTTCTTCTTGTGTTGTTTTGAGTGGTTGTTGTTTAAGAAAATATTTTAATGACATTTTTTTCCTTCCTGTACATTGTCTATTATCCATTAAAGTCCAATGTCCTAAATGATTGTAATTATTATTACATACTTTTGTTTTTGATTCTTGTTGATTATCATTTTCAATATTATTTTCTTCTTCTGTTTCGTAAATTTCTGTTAAAGTAACAGGTTGAGTTCGAAAACGAAGACTATGACGAGAACGTGATGGTTGATTATTAAGTTTCGATCGTGGATATTCAAGCATTAATGATGGGATTGTATCAAGATATGTTGTTGGATACCTTTCATCAATAAAATGTTCTGTATTTAATGAAGTTGTTGGATAATCATGATGAACATCAATTGATGGTGGTTTACTTTTTAAAAAGTTTTTCGATGTTGCAGTAGCCATTATAGTTATACAATAAAATAACTATAGAGATTACAAGAAAAGAAAAAAGAAAAAAATTTATTTTTATATTATAAACATGAGATATTTTGAGAACAAAGGTCCTTACATTTATATGTCAATTGAATATGCGCAAGCGCAGATGAAAAGACAATGATAAACGAAAGCGTATTCTGTAGTAAATCAAATGAATTATAGATGATAATATCTTCTATTGTTTTTTTTTGTTCTCTATACTTGTCATCGAATGTATGTTTGTCACTCGCGGTATATATATATATACTTGTCACAGTTGCGAATAGACTAGAGCATAGGACGAGATATGTATTAAGAAATCAATCAACCAGTAGTTGTCATTTCTTTTCTTTTCTTTTTTTTTATCATACAGATGATTGTTGAGTCAATAGTTTTCTGTTGTATCGCAAAAAAAAGAGAGAGAAGAAAAAAGAGAAAGAAAAAAAAGGAAACGACGCATAAACTTAGACGTTTTTCATGTATCGGTATTCGTCATTATGATTAATTTGCTTACCACCTCCATTTTTCTCTTATTATGATGAGTAATTAACATTATTAGCTGAGGATATTATATGTTCTTCCTTTTTTTTTCTCTTTTTAAAATGTTAACGCCTTAAATGAATGTAACCAAATACAGGAATAATCAAACTAAATAACATAAAACATAAGCTATAATCGCTGTGCTCTGATTTTTATTATTCGAATGTACTTACGAAGAAATATTATATGATCGATAAAATGTTTTGATATTTCTATAACGTCAAAGATTGCCAAACATTCGATGTCGATGAATTTCTCTTTCAAGATATTCTACAGCAAATTCTTTCTTTCAATCAAAAAACAAATGACGAACAGAGAGAATATATGATTTAGATGATTAACGTTTAGTATCAAACAGCACGTGCTAGGCATAGAAAAATAGTTAATTATCATAAACAAACAAAATAAAGCTTTTCTTGATGTTATTATCATTTGATAGTTATGCAAAGATTACTGAAATTCTTGCTATTATTATTCCTTGAATAAGATGCGTAAGTATGAAGGATAAACTCTTTGCTCCGAATTATAGCTCAGCATTGAGTGTCATTAAATGACATTCATAATCATGTCTTCCTTCTTTGTTTTCTTTGTATATTTAAAAACAAATTAGCTCACATTTTCATGTGTACTGCATGACCGATATATATACGAGCTTTTCTACTATGTGCCCAATTATCTCTAAGTTTCTATTTTCTATGTTGATTTAGAATTTGTATACAAGCATAAATAGATTCAATTATTTCTTCTTGTTTTTTTTCTCTTTTATCAGATAATCTACTTTCTATGCTATCGAAATCTTTACCCTAGTGAATAGTACTATTTTATGATACTATAAATAGAACGAAAATATCTTATAAAACTTTGCTTAAATCTTTCGTCCATAACTGATTCAACATTTAATTAATGGAAAACACAATAAAAAAAAACATGTAATCTTACTTAAATCTAATAGATTTATATTTCTAAAATCTCTGTCATATGATATTTCGCAACTATAATGTATGGATATGTTGCATCACACAACAATCTGTTTTACATCACTGACATCTGGATAAAAAGAAAAAGAAAAAAAACCTTATATATAAATCATTTCTTGGATGACTCATTGCTTTTGATAAATTATGTGATGCAATGTAATTATACATCTTGTCAATATGTATATATATAAACTATTGTAACTCTATTCCAACTAAAAAGCAATTTATATTCATAATGACAGATATAATGTCTGACAAAGAACATTTTGATAATAATAATGATCAATTACTCAATGATGAAAAATTACTTGCAAATCAAATAAAACAATATGAAGCAATAAATGATCAACGACTTAATTCATCTTATCCATTTATTGTTCGTATTGATGGAGTTTCATTTCGAAATTATACACATGGTTTTAATAAACCATTTGATCAACGTATGACACGAGCATTTATTCGTACATCAGCTGATTTATTACAACGTTTTAATCCATTAACAGTTTTTTATCAATCTGATGAAATTTCACTTGTTTTTGATGGATATTCAACAATTGATACTATAGAAAAAAATCCACGTGAACATATATATTCTGGTCGTATACAAAAACTTGTTTCAGTACTTGCATCATATACAGCAGCTAAATTTAATAAATATATTAATGAAGAAGATTGGTCTGATATAAATAATAAACATGTACAAGAACGTCTTTTATCACATTCAGCTTATTTTGATGGTCGTGCTTTTTCTGTACCAAATCAATTTTCTGCAATGGCATCTATTTATTGGCGTCATCGATATGATACATTAAAAAATTCTACATTATCATATGCATTAAGTTATTATTCACAAAATTCAATTTTAGGTAAAAGTCCATATGAATTACGAAATTTACTTCGTATAGAAAAAAATTGGGATATGTTAAATGAAGCACCAAAAAATATTATATATGGAACATTTTTAAAAAAAGAATTATATGATTTAGAATGTATTGATCATAAAACACAACAATCTATAATTGCTAAACGTAGTCGAATACGTATTGGATCATTTGATATGAATAAATTATTACAAACAACTGAAGAGAAAATAAAATTTATTATGAGTAAATATTGGAATGATTGTAATACAACTATAGATAATATTGAAATACCAAATTGGTGGATGAAATATTATCAAAAACAAGAAACATCGACAACTGATTAAATGAACTTCTGATATATATGAATAGATAAAAAAAAAAAAGAACGATCATAAAATAATTTTCAAATGTAGAAAATCTCATTTCATGTCTTCCATGGAAAAATATTAAAACGAACAGTAAAAATTATGAAGTTTTATATTCCAATAAATATTGAATATCATACATTAAAAAGTAGAGAAAATTTATTAGTATATTTATATAATTTCAATCGCATGTTAGAAATGCATTATAGGAATTAGAGTTTGTCGAGTTCTACTTTTGAAAATTTTCTACTAACAGGCTTTGAGTTGAAAATTTTTGCACCCAATTGACTCTAATTATCTAAGAAATATGTAAGATATGCTAGTCACCGAGTACAAAGAACAGGAAGAAAATCATGTATCTTCGGAACGATCATACTATTCCAATTAGACAAACTCATTAAGAGTTTCAACTTACGGTTCAATGGGGTATGAATATTTTAAACTATACGAACTCTAATCATCTGAGAAATGCGCCAGCTGTGCTAGTCATCGCATACAAAAAGTTGGAAAACAATATCTTATCAAGAATGAGAATAATTGAAATCTTTATCGAAGTTATCTATGTGCTCATGCTTGTTCATCTTACGTATAACATTTCAATTTGTCAAACATGACATATATATATTTATTTACTTCGGGCATACCAAAAGTTCGGGCCACGGCATTTAAAGGATCTTTTCAAATAAGAAGATCTATTGAGAAATGAAAAACCAAATATACCATATTGTAGAGCTTTTTCTGGCGCGTCGAATTGTATATAGTAAATCCTGTTTTTATAGAATTTTGAAAAACTAGAGTCAATTTGCTGATAGACAACTACACATCCACACCCAAGCACGATAAGTTTTCTGAATATTGTGGTCCTTGGTATTAGTCAAAAGGATTTGTAAAATATTTTTTCTTACATACGATTTTGTAAAGTTTTTCACGAGCTACAACCTCCTTTATGTAGCATCTCTGATCATCTTGTCAGTGTGAGTATGTAGTCGTCTATCAGTAAATTGACTCTAGTTCCTTTAAAGTCCTATGAAAACAGAATTTACTATATACTATTCGATGCGTCTCAAAAAGCTCTATAATATGGTATATTTGATATTTCATTGCTCAATAAATCCTCTTATCCGAAAAGATCCCTTAAACACTGTGGTCAGAACTCTTGGTATGCCCTAAGTAATAATACTACGTCTTTTTTATGTAATATTAGTTTCTGTGAGGATTACAGCGTCTCACTAATGGAAGAATTTTGTTATCACTAGAAAGGATATCTCAGAAGTTCTGAAACGAATTTAAAATTCATCGTTCTTGCATTTAGCAAAAGTAAATTCTTTACAACTTCGGTAGATTATTGTAACTACTTAGTACTAAATAAATACGGAATTTCAGGTCTGTAGTCTTCATTATGAATGAGAAACTGTAAGAACACTATGATGTACTTTTTTTATCAATTTTTCAAACCTTAAGGTGGTGATCATTGTAATAGAGCGTAAGGTACTAATGACATATACGTGAAATTTCTGCGAACTATCGTAGAAGAAAAACAGATTAAAGAATTGATGGCCCGTAGAAATGTCGAAAAAGAAAGAATATTGACATGAGAAATGGTCGATAAATGTGTTAGAGAAGTTTGACTAGCGAAGGACATGCTATATGATATGAGTTAATGTTAACATTCTAACAGAGATCAAAA